TGCTCCTTGGGGGTTCCATCGTCCTGACACAACCAGCCCCACCACCACCCCGTGTCTCAGATACGTCAGGATTTCGGGGCCACTTGGTTGACCCCGTGCCCTGCCACCAAGGCTTGTCCATTCGGTCTTCTGTGCACACACCACTGAGCTCCACCTGAGCACAGGCCTGGCTGGGCCTCAGCAGAGGAGAGAGAGAGAGGAACCAAAACAGACAGGTGGGAGTGCCCAGGGCTGAGGGTGACACGTTGGGGACGGCCCCAACCTGGCCCCTGTCCTCATCACCTGGGCTTGTGAAAACAGACTCCAGGGGTCCCCCACCCCCACCCCCAGGCAGCCAGGGCTCTTCTCTTCATTATTCACACCTAACGGAGGCTCTCAGTTAAGCCTGTGGGAACCCACAAAGCGGCTTGGGTTTCAGGACAAATGCTTGCCCCCCACCCCCAGACCTGGGCCCCCTCCTGCAGGTTTCCCTCAGCCTGGGAGGCCCATCTGTTCCCTTGCCCTTTGATTCTCCGAGGGTCTCAGAGCCTGTTACGGACTGAATTGTGTCCCTCAAAAGATCTGCTGAAGTCCTAACCCCCTGTACCTGTGAACGTGAACTTGTTTGGAAAGAGGGGCTTTGAAGATGTTATCCGTTAACATGAGGTCACACTGGAGGGGGTGGGTCCTAATCCCAACACGGGTGGTTTTATAAAAGAGACAGCGAGACACACAGGAAGGACAGCCATGTGACAGTGGAGTTATGCTGCCCCTACAAGCCAAGGGATGCCTGGGGCCACCAGAAGCTGTGAGACAGGCATGAACAGATTCTCCCTCAGAGCCTCAGAATCAGCACAGCTGACATCCTGATCTCTGACCCCCAGCCTCCAGAGCTGTGAGACAGTGTCTGTTGTTTAAAGCCTCCCCTCCCTCCCCCAGTTTGTGGTATTTTGTTGGGGCAGCCCCAGGTCACTCAAACAGAGCCCCTCCCTCCATTCAGATAATCCTGCTGCCCGCTGCCCAGGGCAGCCAGGGACCCCAGCCCCCATTGCTCCAACAGGAAAACGGGCCAGAGGGCCTCCAGGCAATCCATAGGGGCACTCAGGGGCCCCTGGCAGCCTCTCCCACCTTGCATGTCTCTGAGTGACAGGCCCCAGAGGTCACATCTGAGGGAAAAGCATTAAACTGAAAAGAGAGGGAGGTCAGTACTCATTCCTCTCAACTCCTGGAGAGGCCGCTGGGCCCTGGAGAGAGTGAGGCTCAGCCATGGCTGGGGCATTCTCTGAGGAGGTTTCCCCAGGAAGCACTGACATGAAGGGGATCCCATGGAGAAGCGCTTAGGGACCTCACCCACTAGAGGGGCTCCCTGTGACCTCCTGGGGCTGGTGACAGTCACAGCCCCCCAGCAGGCTCAGGGTCCCATCCCAAGGCAGCATCCCGAGGAGCCTACAGCTGTCACAGCAGACGGGAATGGGGAGGCCCAGGGCTGGAGTCAGCCCTGTTTACTCTGGCCATATCCCATTCTGGGGACCACAGCCTGCCCACACCTGTCCAGCCTCCACCATTCCTGCCCCTGACCAGGCCTTCTGCACACCAGAAAAAACAGCAGAGAAGAACCCACGGAGGGAAGACAGTCCCCTTTCTCCTATCTTTGTTCTTTCTAACAAGTTTAATTGAATATTTGTCTTGAATCCTGGTCCTTTGGGCTCCCCAATCCACACTGAGTAGCGAGTAACCAGCTGGCCCTGCTGGGACCCCTGGGGCCCTCTAGCAATGGGGGTTGGATTCTCTCCCCCATTCAGGCTTTGGAGAGACCTACCCTCAGGGCTTTGGGAGTTCCTGGTGGCCCCTGACCCAGCTGAGGCAGCCATCGTCTGGGACAACTGGGGGGAATGAAGTGCTGGAGGCAGGGAAGTGTGGGCTCAGAGGCTGGAACTAAATAAATGCAGGTGAAGAGCAACCGGTGGTGGTAAGGCATTGTTCCTGGGGGCTGGACTGTGTGCATCTGGGTATGTGTGCACACACGTGTCCATATGTGATGTCTGTGTGCACACATGTGCATGTCTTGTGCACACATGTGCATGTCTTGTGCACGTGTGCACTCGTGCTTATTTGTGTCTGCACATGCCTTGTGCATTTGTGCATGCCTGTGAGCATGTGCGTGTTGTGTGCACGTTTGAGTACACGCCTGCAAGTCTGCATCTCTGTGTGCATGTTTACATGCACGTCTGTTCATGTGTGCACACGCCCGTGTGAGTACACAAGTCCCTGTGTGCGTGCAGGGTCACATGTGTGCGCATGCGTGGTGGGGAATCACTGAGAAAGCAACATTTCCCCAGGAGGGAACAGTAACCCTGCCCCTAGTTCTGAAATCCAAGTCCCGGGGACCAGGGAAGGAGCAGTTGTAACACGAGGAGGGGGCCTGAAGGTCAGAAAAGGCCAGGAAGTGGGGAGCCCTCTGTGAGTCTGGGGGTCCACACAGAGTCTGTACCTGTGCTCACGGGACAGTCCATGCTCTTCCCCAAGATGCCTGGATGCCTCCACGTGGACCTGGAAACAACCTGCCTCTTTCCCTCAGACCCAGCCTCATCTGAGACCCAAAGCCAAACCCTCCTGGCCGCTTACTCCCACAGGGGCTTCACCAAGCTGTTCCCTCCACCTGGATTACTCTTCCTTGCCCTCTACTTGGCCAGGTCCTCCCCCTGCTCATAAAGGACACTTCCTCCAGGAAGACAGGCTGGTGGCAGTAACACCTCCCTCATAAGACTGTGGGGCTCCCGCAGCCTAGTGGTAGCTGCCCTGAGCAGGGTAGCATCTTTGCAGAATGAATGAAATTCCGAATCGGCTCCTGGCTCGAGAACGCAAAACAGGACGGGCGTCACTCCAGGACGCGGCTCCGCTGGCAGGCACACCCAGGGGCACCGAGGGGCCTCCTCCAGGGCGTCCCCACCCTCATGCCCTGGAAAATTCTCTCCAATGATTAATCCGTTCCCTCCTCCATGTCATGGAGATTTTCTGGCTCCCGGCCTGGCTTTAATGGCGGAGGGGGGCTGGCCACCAGGACGCCGCTGGAGGCCCAGCATCCCCCTTCACAGCAGCCATCTGCTGTTGTCAATCTCGGGACTCCAGCCCCTGGGGACCACCAATCATTGGTCCGACATCCCAGTATCGTCATCAGCAGCCAATCAGGAGTGAGCCTTGTGGGGAAGGGGCAGGGCCAGAGCACGGTACCACGTGGCATGGGGGACACCCTGGTGTCACCGCCTGCTTATTGGACACCTGCTGTGTCCTAGCTGCGCTGAACATTTCCTGCTCTGTGAAATGGGCACGTGGTCCCCACCCCAGGATGGTGTGTGCCATGGAGTTGATTCCAACTCATTGTGCCCCATAGGGTTTTCTACGCTGTAATCTTTCTGGAACCTTCCTCAATGTTCTCCTCTGCCTCCCAGAACTGGGCCTGGGTGCCTGGGTTTGATGGAGGTGCTGCCTTGGCCTCCAGCTTGAGCCCATCTGGTTCTGGTTCCTCTCAGGGCCTCCATGGGGGTCTGTCTTTCTGAGCTGCCCCACCGCATCCCTGGGTTGGGACCCAAGCCTGCTGTTCGTGGGGTATGAGAGGACTCAGGGGGCTCTGGACCATGCACAAGGCACCTTGCTATTAATATGGGAGAAAGGAGAGGGGCGCTCAGCACCTGCCCATGCCAGTGAGTCCCTGTGTGAAGGTTCCAGAGGACAAAGGTCCTGCTATTAGTCTGTTGTCATCACCCTCAAGATGCACACCACGGGCCACAGGGCTGCGGACTCTTTTTCCTTTATTTTGCTCTTTCCAGTTTGAAGCTACTATCATGGGCGTTGGGAGTTATACAAATGACACTTACAAAAAATAAAAGACCAAAACACCCAGAGTGAGATGCAGGGCTGAGAAACCGGTGGTGGGAGGGGCTGGTGCAGGCAGCGAGGTGGGGTGGGGACCGGGAGACCCAGGCAGCTCACCCCCACGGAGAGCAGCGCTGGCTTCATCCGCCCAGGGAACCCCAGGATTCCAGAAGATTCCAGTCATACACGTGGAGCACCAATCCCGCCGCAGGGCTCTAGCCATGACGCAGGGGGGGCCCAGCACCACCAGGTGAGGACATGGGCCAGGGCTGGGGTGGCGGGGGGGAGGACCAGCCATGTCCAGGAGGGAGGGGGAGTGCCTGATGACAGCCCTTTGGATTAGTGGAGGCAGAAGCTCTGGACTCGGGGCAACCCGCCTACACCCCACCAGCCGCCCCACAACCCCTCAGTGACTACTCATGCTACAACCAGGCTTGCCAAGGGTGCCTCCAGCAATAAACTTCATTAAAAAAAATACTGTTTGGTTATTTTCTGCTTCCAGTCAGGCCAGGGTGAAAGAAAAGGCTAGATCCGAGATAGGAGCGGGGAGCCCGACCACAGCAGACGTGCAGTGGGCAGAGCTGGCCCCTCTGTGCAAAGGGGCCAAGGCTGGAGGTCCTCCCCACTCCCACCTGGGACAACACCCAGAGGGACCAGGAGATTCCAGCTGTACACCATGCCCAGGGACTCGGGGACCTCCCGGTCACCCACTTCTCTCAGCCACTTTGGGGAAATAAGGCTCAGAGTCATCTGAGGTCAGGAGGAAGAGGTGCCAGCCTTGCCCGAGGCAAAGAAGACAGGGCAGAGGGACCCCACAACCCACCACACTCCCTGGTGACGGCGCAGCCACTGACTCGCCCAAGGGAGCCACAGGGGCGACAGGTGGGGGCACCATTTTCTCTGGGGTTTCCAGTTTGAAAGGCAAGGGGCTCAACACCCACTGTGGAGCCCATCTAGAGAAGGGAGTTAGCGGGAGTCTGAGGAACAGGGGAGCCCTCCAGAGCCGCAGGGCAGTGGGGCACAGGGTGGGAACGGGGTGGCGGCGGGTGGGGTGGCACCTAGTACTCCCAGAGGGTGGCGGGGTCGATGGTCTCGGCGGAAGCCTTCAGGACCCCCGCGTGGTCCCCCTTCAGGTAGCGCCCGCCCACCTTGATGGCCACCTTATTGTAGTCGCAGAACTCGAAGAAGAAGTCCACGGGGGTGTCGCTGCTGCTGGTGACCGAGGAGTCACTGCCCACCATCCAGTACTTGCCTGTGGAGTCTGGGGAGAAGGAGGAACGTCAGGCTGCCCCCACCCGCCCTGCACCTGGTCCCCTCCTCGTCTTCAAGGGTTAATGCCCCCTCCCCCCAATCACAGCTTCCAAAGGGGAGCGAGGTCCTTATCCCCACCCATGCACTCCTGCCTGTGCTTGGTGCATGAATGGGGTTCAAGAAATGCATCTGGAATCAAAATCAACACCTCTAAGTTGTTGGGGATCCTTCCCCCAAGTTGTGGTCCCACTACTCAGGCATGTCCACACCTGCCCACTCCCCTCTTTCCGGGACCTGTCTCCCTGCCTGCTGGCCTCCCACCTTCTCTCTGTCTGGGGTGGGCAGGGCACCCCCCACCCAGTGCCACCAGGGGAGACCTGCCTCGGATGTTGTAGGCACCGTCGTTGAACTCGAGCTGGAAGACGTCATAGCTGGAGCGGTTGGCATCCAGGGTGCCAGTGACCTTGCGGCAGCCGATGAAGCCATGTTCCCCACGGAGCACAATGATGGGCCGGTTGATGAGCTTCATGAGAAAGAGCTCTGCGTCCCCTGTCCCGGGATGGGGGGAGGACAGTGAGCCTCATGGCAGGGACCCTGGGCACTCACAGGTCACCCTCGGGGGAGCCTGGCACAAAGCGGGCCTCGGGTGGGGTTGGTGAGTGACCGTGACGTGCTTAGATCCCCCAGGGTAGCAGGGCAGTGCTAGGGAACCAGCAGCTTGGGCTGTGCCTGCAGTGACTACCTGCTGTCTCCACGGAGGCTGCCAGCTGCCCGTTCTTCTTGGCGGTCACAAATTTACCATTGGATGCACGCAGGGTGATACGCCGATCACGCCACTCGATGTCAAAGTAGCAGCTGGCATTCCTAGGGGTGGTGGGGATAGTGTCAGGGGGCACCCCAGGCAGGAAAGGCCAGCCAGGGGAGCGAGGGGTGCTGTGGGGTTGGGGGACACTCACTTGGTGGAGGCAGTAGACTGCACACCCCCAGTCGTCGTCAGTGTCCAGTACTTGCCCGTGTGTGTGCGGAAGGCGCACTTTTTGGTGTCACGGTCAATCTCCAGCTGAAAAGTCTCCTGGTCAGTCTCTTCGTCCTGATTGGCCGACAGGTCCATACCTGTGGGGAGAGCCTTGTGGTGGTACGGGGGCCCCCATGCCCTCTGTGGGCTGAACTAACCCTAGAACCTGGGAACATGACCTTGTTTGGGAATAGGGTCTTTGAAGATGCTAGCAGTTAACATGAGGTCATACTGGAATAGGGTGGGTCCTAATCCCATCAGAGTGTTGTCCTTATAAAAGAGAAGAGACACAGACAAAGAAACACAGAGGGGATACAGTCATGTAACAACAGAGGTAGAGACTGTAGGAGGCAGAGCTGCAAGTCAAAGAACGCCAAGGACTGCAGGCTGCCACCAGAAGCTGGGAGAGAGGCAGGAACAGAAGGAATCAACAAGGCTGACACCCTGATCTTGGACTCCCAGCCTCCAAAACCATGAGACAATAAATTTTTGTTCTAATGTTTTGGCAGCTCTGGGACACTAAAACGCCCCCAGCCCCACCCTCACACACCAACGCACAAAGGGAGATATAGCCCCTCAGCCTCTAAGTCAAGTGGCCCAGGAATGGGCTTGACATGGGCGAGGCCAGGCCAGGCCCAAGGCCACTACATCTGTCTCTTCTGCACAGAAGTCATACCTTCCAACAAGCCAACTGCAAAAAGGCATTCTTGAGCTGAGGAATCAACATATAGCCTGGGGTTAGATACTAAGGATTTATTGCTAATGGTGATGTGATTACGTAAGAAAATGGCCTCGTTTTTTAGAGAGACATATGGAAGCATTTAGAGATGGAATGACATGATGTCAAGGATACGCTTTAAATAAACCAAAACCAACAGGTGAAGGGATAGATGAAACGAAGTGGCAGGACACAGTGTCCAGGGAGTCTCAGGATAGATAGATGGGGGTTCGGTATATCCTTCCTGCTCCTGTATACGTGTGAGGGTTAAAAGAGTAAAACGTAAACTAGCACACATTCCTTTCAGAAAGATTAGGAAACTGAAAGCATAAAAATGGAAGACATGAAGTCACATATATCCCCATCCCTACCCCCCACCCTGAGAACCACAGCTGGTGAAGACCCTTCTACTCTTTCCCACTACGCGTATCATTCATATACATTTTCTTTATCCATAGTGCATGCGTGCTACCGTATGCTAATAGATGATATATAGATCTGTAGTATATGTATATGCACATTTATAGATACATATCTATATATGAATATATAATGGGGGCAGTGGTGGTTCAGTGGTAGAATTCTTGCCTTAAATGAGGGAAACCTGGGTTCAATTTCCAGACAGTGCACCTCATATGCAGCCACCACCTGTCTGTCAGTGGAGGCTTTCATGCTGCTATGATGCTGAACAGGTTCCAGGGGAGCTTCCAGACTAAGACAGACTAAGAAGAAAGGCCTGGCAATCTACTGCTGAAAAGCAGCCAGTGAAAACCCTATGGATCACAACAGTTCAATGCAAAACCAATCATGGGGATGGTGCAGGACCGGGCAGCATTTTCTTCTGTGTTGTGCATGGGGTAGTCATGAGTTGGGGGCTGATTCAACAGCAGCTAACAGCAAATTCCAACATATAACTGACAGATACATATTTATGTGCAAACTGCTTTTTTCTCCATAATACCTTCACAAGTTTCATATCACTAAATCACCTTGGACATGACCATATGAACCCTAACGAAGACACCTGGGGTCACTCCCAGGTTTTGCTTTCATGCACTGGCTACTCTCACACCTTTTTGCAAATCCACCACCCCCGCCCCTCACCAGCAAAACCTGGAAGCAGGATCTTTGGGTCAAACAGAACCTCCAATTCATGTTCCCCCAGCATCCTAGGTTCTAAGAACCTCAGCAGCCAGGAAGTCTGCCGTGCCTGTTCTAGTACCCCCTCAGCACTTTGCACAGCAGTACTGCCCAGTTGAGGAAACTGAGGCTGGCCGGCCAGGAGGACACATCGTTTATTCTACAATCATCACTCACAGGCCTGAGAGTGTTGGCATCCTCCTGACCCCATCACATGCCTCCATACCAACAGTACCCCGGGATAGGGATGGTCACCCCCGACTTCACAGAGAGGCTGAATCTGAGTGAGGCTGTCCTTGCCCAAGGTCACACAGCAAGAAAGGAAGAGCCTCTGTGGCTCTCAGGGGGAGGTGGGCTACTTTGCCCTACTGCAGCACCCTCTCCCCCTCAACCGGCCCTCCACCTATGGACTCATGGACATGGCCACCCTGGGTCTCCCAGGCCCCATTTATGAGCTGGACCTACCATCACTCTCCAGGGAGGCAGGGGAGGGGTCTGCTGGGCACCTGAGCCACCACCAAGAATGAGACCAGGGCTAGGGTTCCCTTGTTCAGACCTCCCCCAGCCAAAGGCCCCACAAACTGGGCAACCTGCCCTACCCCTACTGCTGCACGGGACCACCAGGGGGATAGCCCCTTCCTCGCACCCCCTGTTCTACCCAAAAGGGCCCCGTACGTCTACAGGAGACCCCCAGCACTGCATCAGTCAGCAGCACAGCCACACCCATCCGCCTCTCAGCCAGGAAACCTGCTCTGGGGGTCCCAGTCCCCACTGGCCACACGGCACCACCTGCCCAGTGTGTGGGGCACCGTATGATGGCTGATGAAAGGAAACAGACAAGAGGAAAAGCCCTCCACCCTTCCCCTGCAGTGGAAAAGACAGGGGGCGCTGAGCTCCCACAAAGAGGGAAAAGGGGCCACTCCCCTGGCCTGTTGGGTTTGGGGAAAGCAGAGTGGGGACTGGACAGCGACAAAAGCTGAATCTCTAGCCTGACCCTGCCCTGGGGCTCAGTTAGCTTGTGCTAACCAACACAGCCTTGCAAATAAGCCTGGTGATTACCATCCTGCCTGAGAGCAAATGCAGGAAGACCTGTGGTTACTGAGCAGCTTAGCCAGGGCAGCCACTGTGCCTAGAGCTTGAAATGTTGTTAGCTGCTCTCAAATGGCAACCCCAAGTACAAAAAAACAAAACTTTGCCCAGTCCTGCACCATCGTCATGATTGTTTGGTATGCTCAAGTCCATTGTGGCCACTGTGCATTCTGAGTGTCTTCCAGCCCAAGGGGCTCATCTTCCAGCACTAGATTATTGACAATGTTCCGTTGTGATCCATAGGGTTTTCACTGGCTGATTTTCAGAAGTAGATTGCCAGGCCTTTCTTCCTAGTTTGTCTTAGCCTGGAAGCTCTGCTGAAACTTGCCCACCATGGGTGACCCTGCTAGTATCTGAAATACCAGCGGCATAGCTTCCAGCACCATAGCAACAGGCAAGCCCCCACAGTACAACAAATGGACAGACGAGCAGCAGGGGTATGTTTGACATACATGGGCTTTAACCCTCACAGCAACACCAGGAATTAATACTAACACTATCTGATTTTACAGAGGAAGAAACTGAGGCTCAGTGGGGGTCAGTAAAATCGTCTGTTCAGGTACTCAGACCCCATCAGCTGGTTGTGTTCAGTCTTGGAACTAGTTGGCTGCAAAGGCTGGTCACTAAGGTACCCAAACGGGCACCAGGCACCGAGGCAAGTGCCTCCACCTCACTCAGCCTCAGTTTCCCCACCTGTAAAAAGGGTCTAGTCTCTCCATTTTGCCAGGATGTTGAAAGGACTTGGGGGCCCGGTGCCGAGTACATGCCAGCCCTTCCTACCTGACCTGGAAGGAGGTGGAGGAAGAGAGCTGTCCCCTTCCCAGCAGGCCCTCCTGGCTCCAAAGCCCAGCCCAGACGGGAAAGGCCCCACTTGGCCTTGAAGTCTCTAATTAGAGCCACGTTACTATGGAAACAGGGTTTTCTTCAGAATTTTTCTTTTCAGCAATAGCAGCATAGAAAACCTGAAGTCACAGGCCCAAAGGGGCCCTGGGAAGTGGAGGCTGTTCAGCTGAGCCCAGAGGCACATCTCCCTAGTGGGAGCCAGGGTGACAAGGACAGCAGGGACCTCAGGCCCTTGCCTGTCCTTCCTCCCTTTCAGACCTACCTCTTTGCCACCCAGGCTGTCCAAAATGGCCTTCTGCAGACACATTCCCGGTCCCGTGGAGCTGCCTCCAGCCTGAGACATCCTCTTCAGTGGCCAGAGGGGGCACCCCAATCCCCTAACACCCTCATGGCTCCCTACTGCTCTCAGGCCTTAGCTTAGGCAAAGCTGTGTCTCAGGAGTTCCTGAATTCCCCTTGAACTTGTTCAAAATATGCATCCCTCTCCCCTCATTCCACTTAGGGGAGGGACCTGGAATCACCTGTCACCTCTCCTCCCCTCCTCTCCCCTTTTTGCAGTCTGCTCTGTGACCCCTTCAAATCCATCCTCTGTCCTCGCTTAGCCATTCCCTGCCTCATCTGGAGAGCTCTTATACACCCTGCAAAGCCTAGCTTGACCAGCACCCCAGCGTCTGAAACAGCACTTGAGCCTAGCTCCAGGCCAGGTCCTGGGTGGGGCGGGGAGTACCCAGGGCACAGCTGGCCAGAGGTAAGGAGCCTGGTGGGAGGAGCTGCTGACACTAAGATGGGAAATGAGGTGTGGCAGCACCCAGGGGCTGGCTGGAGCCAGGGCAGGAAAGGGTCCCGAGGAGCAGGACAGAGGACCCCACCCAGGGGAAGGACGAGGTAGCACCAGGACCCCCATTCTGGTAGCCAGCCCAGCCTCTAATGGTGACCTCACAGAGGCAAAGCCAGCCTGAGGTGGGGTGGCCAGGAGCTCACACTTTACAGATGGGGAAACTGAGGCCGGTGAGCAGGCTGCAGCTTCAGCAGGAAGCACCCCGCCCTGCCCAGACCCAGCCTGTGCAGGCCTGAGCGGATGATTCACATCCTTAGCTTCCAGACCTGCGGTTCCCACATTCCCAACATGTGGCGGAAGCGCAGACCCCGCCTCCTTGCCACGCAGGCCTGTCCAAAATGGCCTTCGCAGACCCACCCCCAGGCTGCCCAGGGCTTCTGGAGCTGGCCCCTCTGGACTGCAATCCCATCCCAGGAAGACCTGGGGTCAGCTAACATGGGAACAAGAAAGAGACCCCAAGCCAGCTGAGCCCCAACTTCACCCCAAAGCTCTTCCCCGAGGCCTACCCCCTTTAAACTCAAAGATGAGCAAACACCTCTCCTGGCCCCAGCTCCCCCTCATCCCGCCTCGTCAGCCTGAATCACAATCGTGCTGCTGCAAGACTTTCACTAGAGAGAGGGGGTATGCGTCCAGGCTCGCTCATCTTGGCTGACAAGAACACCCATGGTCTCAAGAGCCAGGCTTCCTGCTCTGCTTCACCTTCCCCAGAGAAGGCCCTGGAACTTGTCTCTGCACTGACGAGCTCCCATCACAGGCCCTGTGGTCCCAGTCCCATCACCCACCTCACACGCCTCTTTCCAGCCACACCTGGCTTTCAATGCTCCTGCTGCCTCACGGCCTTTGCACAGGCTATTCTCTCTGCCTGCAACATTATTCCACTCGGATACATGTCACCTTCCATTCATCCTTCAGATCTGCTCAGGCAGACCACCTTCTCCATCTAACCTGGGAACCCAGCCCTATCCGACACCTCTGGAATTTTGATCATGTCCCCCCAGGAGAAGGTCCAGGCACACCCCCCTATTAGTTCACCACTCAAGTGCCAGCACTTAGCAAGGGCTCAAAGTTTGCTGAATGGGTGGGAATCCAGCCCCACCTAACACTGCTGTGAGCCTAAAGAGAGGTTCATTGATTTGCCTGGGGGAAGTGGTGGCTGCCTGGGAGGCAGCAGGGGTCCAGGTAAGAACCTGTACAGTTCCATGTGCTCTTTACTTGCTGTGCGCCGTTAAGCTAGTGGCTTCCCCTCTCTTGGCTGTAAACAGCTCCTCAGTAAGATGGCAGTGGTACTGCCACCTCCATCAAGGTGGGAAAGGGTGAGAAGAGATGGCACAGGCAAAAGCTGCCATTACCCCACCCAGGTCTCCAGCTCCACCCCCATGGCCATTAAGGCCTGGGGAGCTCTCCAGATAGGGGCAGCCTGGCCAGGGGAACGCCCCTCTCCACAGAGCCCAAGGACAGCACGGTGGCCACCAAGGAGATTCCCATCCAGCTGTCTCCAGAGGCTGGGGCCAACCTTGCACCCAAGGGAGCAAGACCCCCGCAGGCTCCTGCAGGAGAGGGGGGCCGCTGGCTGCCCCAAAGGAAGGAAGACCCCAGATTTCAAAGAAACCGCCCAGCGGGGAGGGTCTGGGGGAAGGGAAGCAGGGGGCTCGCTTCTGACGTGCAGCCGGTCGGAAATGGCCAGGCCGGAGGCCCGGGAGAGGACAGATCCGGTTGCAGCCAATTGTTCTCGGCGGAGCCCTTGGGGATGGGTTCACCCGAGGGTAGGGAGCTTCCCGGGGCACCGGGCTGGGGTCTCCCCGCTCCCGCGGCCGCTTGTAGGGCAGAGCGCGCATGGAGGGAGGGAGCCGCAGGCGGCGGGCGCAGGGCGGGGTGCCTGGCGGGCCGCCATCCATGCCACGCCAGCCGGCCCGAGGCGCGACTGGGGAAACCGCCTCCTGGGGAGGCTCTGGACCGGGGCGCTGGTCTTGGGGGCGGAGCGGGACCCTACAGAGCGCCCATGCCCTCCCCCGCGCGCGCATCTGGTTTCCCCATCTGCAGCGCCGGAGAGGACAAAGGGGGCGAGGGAGGGTCCTGCGAGGCGGCCCGCCCCCCTGCTCACAAAGGCCGCGGCCTCGAGCGCGGGGCAGGCGCAGGGGGAGGAGCGGAGGGAAGGGCGGCCACTCGGGGCGCCTCCACCCACCGCCCCGCAGAGCAGACCCCGCCCGGCAGCAGGAGAGGGTGGGAAAGAGCGGGGCTGACTTGGAGCTAGAGGCGTACCCCGCGGGGATCAAAGGCCCCGCTGACCTCCCCCACACCCGCCCGCGGAAGGAGACCCGGGGGAGGAGGGACGCACCCTTTGAGTGCCCGGACCCTCCCCCGGGCCGCCGGAGCGACAAGGCCCACCGACAGGGGGAGGGGCAGGAGGAAACCGACGCGGGCGCCCGCTTCCAAACGTTTGGGCCTGCCTGTCCCAGAGAATCGGCACGCGTGGGGAGACCCAGACGGAGCCGGGACTTCGGGGGTGGCACACGGAGCAGCTCCCACGCGAGGCCTAAGTGACCCCCCCACACACTTCAACCCCGGGGGGTGGGAGGGTGCATCGGCGCCGGAAGATGGGCAGAGCCCCACCTCTCGCCCCCTCCCCTGGGCGGGACGCACGTCCCGGGGCGGAGTGGCCGGCGAGCTCGCCGGGGGCGCATGGGGCGCCGCTCGGGGTGGCCGCGGCGCCGCAAGCGAGAAAGGGCGGGAGGCCGCAGGGCCCGGGGAGGTAGGGGTGCTTTGTGCAGGGCAGAGGAGGGCCGCGTCGCCACTCACCCTGGCGCGTGGACACGTTCCTGTCGTTGGCCGCCTGCAGCACGACCTGGGCGCAGCTCTGTTCCAGCGCGAAGAGCTCATCCTTGCCCACCTTGGTGGCCTTGCCCGCTTTGAGCGTGCCACTAGGCCCCGACGGCGCTAGGTAGCGGCCGTCGCAGTCGCGGAAGGCCACCTTGCCCGAGCGGAACTCGAGCGTGTAGCCGGTGGCGGGCTCCGGCTGCGCCACCAGGCGCCCGTCGTGGCGCAGGAAGCGGTGGTCAGCCGTTTGCACGCTGTAGCGCTGGTCCTGGAAGGCCAGCGTGATGAGCGAGTCGACGCCCCAGGGCACGTCGCGGTCCACGGCGATCTCGTCCGCCGGCCGCGCGCTCAGGTGCGCGTAGCGCTTGCGGGTCAGGCTGTAGATGTTGACCTGCGGATGCATGGCGATGTGCACGCTCCACTTCTCTGCCGGCGACACGCTCTGCGCGAAGCACGACAGGCGGTCCTCGGTGCCGCCGAAGTAGCGCCGGTGCGCCTCGGACTGTAGAGACCAGCGGCCGTCGTCATGAGCCACGATGAGGAAGCGGCAGTCGGCGCTGGGCGTCTCGCGCTCGCAGGTCACGTTGCCGTCCTTGTCAGCAGCCAGGTAGCGGCCCAGGTGGCTGCGCAGGCACACGGCCGCGCTGCCTGCCTCGTCGGGCGGCTGCTCCAGCGTCCAGATCTGCTTCTTCTTCAGGCTGCTGGCCGATGCGTTCACCTTGAACCCGAACGCCTCGGCCGTCAGGTACTTGTTGCTGCAGTTGATGAGGCCGAACTGTATCTGCACCGCCTCTGCCGTGCCGTTGGCGGGCATGGTGGCGGCGGGCGTGCGGTCCCCGGCGCGCCTGCTCCTTTGTTCGCAACCGAACCGGCGCACCCGCAGCAGCGATCCACAAAGCCGGCCCGTCGCGCCGCAGCTGCTTTATAGGCGGGGTGACGTCATGCCGTCAGGCCTCGCCCACGCCCCGCCCCGGGCCCGCGGGGAGGGGGTCGCCGGCCAAGAAGCTAGCTTTGCGGGGCGAGGACGCGGGGCCTCGAGGCGCGCGCGCAGTGCTTCGATTTCCGCGTTTCCAGGTCCCGTGGCACGTCCGGCCTCTGCAGCCAAAGCCTCTCGGGCCGCAAGGAGAGGCCCTCGCCCCCTCCCCATTGCCAAAGCCACCTCCGCAGTGCGCGGCCTGGGGACTCGCCGGCAGTTCCGTGTGCCGACCCCGTGACCCCGCGGAGGCCCCCTGACACCAAGCCTAGCGGGAAAGAAGGACGAGGCAGGTATTAGGTTATGACAGACGGCAGGACCACAGTCGGGCTCGAGACTGGGTGGAGGCGGATCCGGGGGCTGCTCAGAGGAGGTGGCCTGAGAGCGGAGACTGGAGGGAGGCCGAGGGGAAGACCTGTAGGAGAGCAGCGGGAGGCTGAAGGCCAGCGCACAGGTGTGCCTGGAAACTGGATCAGGAAGGCGAGTGGTGGAGACTGGGCCCTGTGGGCGGATGGGTGGGGCCTGAGACCCCACACTTACCCCAGCGGGTCTCTAACCCTCCAGAGCAGGGGCTCTGCTACCTGAGGCTTCCTTCCCAGGACGCTGTCTCCGAAAGCTACCCAGGTCCGTCCCTACGGCCCCAGCACCTAGCCCGCTGACCCACAGAAGCCTCAGGAACAGTGGACAAGTCAATGGCCAACGTCCCCTTCTGGTGATGAATAAACCACAGGCCTGGTCTACCAGGCAGGGGGGTGGACAGGAGTTAGTGCTCCTGTTTAGGAGGTGGATCAGAGAGGTCCAGCAGCTTTGGGTGGCCCAGCCCTGAAGGGTAGACCCCAGGTCTCCAGGCTAAAGGACAGTAGGACCCTCCCCCCCAAAGCCCTGACATCACAGGACTCTGGGCCCAGGTGGAGACCCGGCCCCCCATCCTGTGTGACCCCAACTCCCAATCCTCCTCCCTCCAAGGGGACATTCCCTACGGACATCCCCCTCCCATCTTCACTGGGCTAGGAACACTTCCCTTTTCTGAGCCTCTCTGAAGGCCACGACTTTTCCTGGGACATTCCCCACATGCCAGGAAGGGCCCTTGGAATGCCAGCGTGACCACAGGCTGCCCACAGGATCTTCGGCAGAGGCCTGTACCAGCCACAAGCAGAGGGCACTGGGCTGGGTACTGTCCTCAGCCTCCATCTCTGGATAGGCTGAGTGTTCTGAGCTGGTTAGCGTGCCGCTGAGCCTGCCTCCAGGCAGTCCCCTTCGGGGATTTTCAACGGGGAGGGAAAGATGGCATCCCGTCCCCCAGACAGGCATGCCCATAGTACCCCCTCCAAGAGAGCCTACCCGCTTGAGAGCCAGGGAAATCAAAAGTCGCTCCTTTTGAGGTCATCTGATGGGTCACACAAGGACCCCTGGTGGCAAAACTGGTAAGTTCTCAGCTGCTAACTGAAAGGTCGGCAGTTCGAACCCACCCAACAGCTCCATGGGAGAAAGACCTGCTTCCGTAAAGATTACAGCCTAGAAAACCCTGTGGGGCAGTTCTACTCTGTCATGTGGGGTCACTGAGTCAAAAATCGACTCAAGGCACCTAACAACAATGGATCACACAGACTTGGGCTTGAAACCCAGTGACTAACTGGCTGTGTGACCTTGGGCAAGTTATTCAACCTCTCTGAGCCTCAGTTTCCTCTTTCTTTTTTCCTTATTCTTTTTTTTTTTTATTGTGGTAAAATATACATATATAAAAATTGCTATTTTAACCATTTTTGAGTGTACAATTCAGTGGTGCTAAGTGAATTCACAATGTTGAATTCACTATATTTCCAGATCCTTTTTATCATCACAAATAAAAGCTCTACCCATTAAACAATAACTCCCCACTACCCTCTCCCCAGCTCCTGGTAATCTCTATTCTACTTTCTGTCTCTATGAATCTGCCTATAAAGATGCCTCATATAAGAGGAATCATACAGTATCTGTCCTTTGGTGTCTGGTTATTTCACTCAGTATGTTTTCAAGGTTCATCCACATGACAGCATGTATCAGAACTGCATTCCTTTTATGGCTACATAATATTCCATTGTAGTCCCTGGGTAGTGCAAATAGGTAACGTACCAAAAGGCTAGAGGTTCAAGTACACCCAGAGTTGCCTCAGAAGAAAGGCCTGCTGTTCACAATAGCAAACAGATGGAAACAACCTAGGTGCCCATCAATGGATGAATGGATAAACAAATTATGGTATGTTCACACAGTGAAATACTACACAATGATAAAGAATAATGATGAATCCGTGAAACATAACATGGATGAATCTGGAAGGCATTATGCTGAGTGAAATTAGTCGCAAAAGAACATATTGTATGAGACCACTATTATAAGAACTCAAGAAAAGGTTTAAACACAGAAGAAGAAAACATTCTTTGATTGTTACGAGGGTGGTGAAGGAAGGAGAGGAGTATTCACTAACTAGATAGTAGACAAGAATTATCTTAGGTGAAGAGAAGGCCACAGGGGAAGTCAGCACAACTGGACTAACCAAAGCTAAGAAGTTTCCTGAATACAACCAAACACTTCGAGGGACAGAGTAGCAGGGGCAGGGGTCTGGGGACCATGCTTTCAGGGGACATCTAGGTCAATTAGCATAACAAAGCTTATTAAAATGTTCTGCATCCCACTTTGGTGAGTGGTGTCTGGGGCCTTAAAAGCTAGTGAGCGGCCATCTAAGATGCATCAATTGGTCCCAACCCACCTGGAGCAAAAGAGAATGAAGAACAGCAAAGACACAAGGAAAGTACTAGCCCAAGTGACAGAAGGGGCCACATAAACCAGAAACTCCATCAGCCTGAGACCAGAAGAACAAGATGGAGCCCGGCTACCACCAATGACTGTCCTGACAGGGAACACAACAGAGAGTCCCTGATGGAGCAGGAGAAAAGTGGGGTGCAGAACTCAAATTCTAGTAAAAAGACCAGACTTAATGGTCTAAGACTGGAGGAACCCTGGAAGACATGGCCCCTGGACTCTCTGTTAGCCCAAAACTAAACCCATTCCCGAGGCCAACTCTTCAGACAAAGATTAGACTGGACTATGGGACATAAAAGGATACTCGTGAAGAGTGTGCTTCTTAGCTCAAGTAGATATATGAGACTAAACGGGCAGCTCCTGTCTGGAGGTGAGATGAGAAGGCAGAGAGGGTCAGGAGCTGGTTGAATGGACACGGGAAATCCGGGGTGGAAAGGAGGAGTGTGCTGTCACAGTATAGGGAGTGCAACTAGGGTCCCGTAGCAATGTGTGTATAAAGTTTTATATGAGAAACTAACTTGAACTGTAAACTTCCATTTAAAGCGCAATTAAAAAAAAAAGAAAGAAATATAGGATGATCAGGTGGAATTATAGCCTGGGAATCAGAACTCCCAGCTTCACCTGATGGCTCTGTCTCAAATTTCCTCCAAGACCTCAAAAATCATTTAAAAAAAAAAAAAATTGAATAAAAAAAAAAAAAAAAAAAGGCTTGACAGTCTCCTTTCATACCAGCCATTGAAAACCCTATGAAGCGCAGTGCTGCTCAGTCAAAATGGACTCAAAGGCAACTTTTTGTTTCTTTTGTTGATGTTCCATTGTATGTATAGGCCACATTTTGTTCATCCCTTTGTCTCTTGAACTTTCAGGTTGTTTTCCACGTTTTCACTGTTGTGAATAATGCTGCGATGAACTCTGGTACACAACTATCTGTTGGAGTCCCTATTTTCAAGTCTTTTGGGTAGATTCCAAAGGGCAGTTTCCTCTTTTGTACAAGAGAGAAATTCCCCATTGCAGGGTAGCCGGCGAGTCCCTGAAGGCATGGAGCCCAGTCAGACACTCCCCCTGCCATCCTCAGGACTCAGTCCAGCCCCCAGGAAGCCCTCCACTAAGTTAGGGAGACCCCAGCGTCTGGCCAACCCTAGAGGCTCAGAGGAGAGGGCTGAATACCTATAGGTGTGGCAGGAGGGTTGTGGAATGGAGTATACTGAGACCCACCGTCTAGGATCAGGGCTAGCCCTGCCCTGACCTGGGGCCCCCAATGCAGCTAGAGGCCAGGAGGGGGCCTGGGGCTGGGGGCACCTGCCTATCTGTCAGACCTGGATAGAGATAGGGTAAAAGTCTGGCCAGGCCGAATGAGTCATGGTGGCAGCCTGGGTGTGGGCATTGGGTTTCCTGGGTTCAAATTCGCGTCTCTGGCCCTCAGTTTTCTCGTCTCTAAAAGGGGCATAATAATAGTAAATGCACTGGGAGGATAGCTGAGAGAACGGAAGGAGTTAACACACATGAACTGGGACTCAGAGGGTTCCTGGGACACGGGACCTAGGTTTTTAAACCGGGAAAGTCGGGCAAACTGGGACGAGGTTGTCACCGTATACATCAAGGTCTTAAAACAGTGCCCATAAGGTATATGCCCCAAAGAATTGAAAGCAGGTACTCAAACAAGTACATGTACACTCATGTACACAATAATGTTCATGGCAGCACCGTTCACAATAGCCAAAAAGTGGAAACCACCCAAGTGTCCATCAACTGATGGATAAACACAATGTGGTCCATCCATACAATGGAATATTATTCAGCCATAAAAAGGAATGAAGTCCTGATACATGTTACAACATGCAGGAACCTTGGAAACATTATGCTGAGTGAAAGAAGCCAGACACAAAAGGACAAATATAGTATGATTTCATTCATATGAAATATTCAGAATAGGTAAACCCAATGGGACAATGCAGATTGGTAGCGGCCAGGAGCGGTTGGTGGGGGGGCGGGGGGAGATGCAGTGAGTTTCTTAATATGGCCTTTCTAGCCATAGTCTTTGTGACTCCCACATAATGACTGGATGGGACTATGCGAATAAGGTGTATGGAACCTGTGATAGC